CACTTACGCACGCCTTTGCTGCCGCCGCTGCCTCCCCGTGCACCGCGCCCTCCTCCTCCCCGGCTAGCAACCGCCGCGGCGCCATGCCCTCCTTCTCCCCAAGCTGCAGCCGTCGCCGTGCGCCCTCCCCCTCCTTCTCCGGGTCCTCGCATCGCCTCTCCACCGCGCGGCTCGAGCGTGAACCCAAGCCCGCGCCCTCCTCCTCCTCCACCCCTCAGCAGCAGCAGCCGCGCCAGGACCCGGCGCTCGTCACTACTGGAGCACGACCGATGCGGCGACGGGGACGGAGGAGAAGAACGTCTGCGTCCAAGTGGAGATCGACCCTCCCTACCACAGCGGCCACGGCCGTCCCTCCACAACTAGGTCAGATGGATCCATCCCTCCACAGTTGGTTGGCGATGGTGTATTATGCGTTTGACTTTGTGGATTTTGTCTAGCTAATTGAACCTTCAAATCAGTCTTATTTTGGCTCAAACTTCAGGAACATGACTAATTTATATGCCGGGATTTGCCAAATGACAAGATAATTGAACCTTCAAATTAGTCCTATCAGTTTGACTCTATGGTTGTTTATTAATCCTGACTTGTACTTTTTGAATATGTATTGGCTTTGCATTGATTCTTAGATCATTATTATGGTGCTACTGCAGATTTTGTGGTAACACCTCCGTTCAGTTACATCGATCAAGTGAAGAATTCATTAACTGATTACATTGAGGTGCCTGCTCAAAATGTGTGGATGGGAAAAGGATGAGCCCACACTGGAGAAATCAGGTTCGTTATTGGTTAACTGTAGTTGAATTTTACTTTCCTTGAAAAAATCTGTTATATGCCTTCACATGCCTTAAGACAATGAAATCGCCTTTGAGATCCATGACCATGATTATAGTTCCATGCTATATGTCTTGTGACTAAATTGTACAACACTTCAATTTATCTAGCCAAGAAAAAAGGAAATCCATGCTATATGTCTTGTGACTAAATTGTACAACACTTCTTTAACAAAAGCTTTTTTTCATTGTTGGACTGACACCTCCATTCTTTAAAAAATGAGGTTGTTTCTCTGTTTGCAGAGGTGCCATTTTTGTAGTGGTGTTGTAGAACACAAGTATCCATAAGTTGTCATGAGCCTAGGTTGTTAATGATCGAATTATGTAGCTTTCACTAACTGTGCTCTTATTACTATAAGAACTAACTCTAGAACATCATTGGTGGTTAGCAGGCTCCTGAAGGGCCATGCTTCATAACTGACCTTTCCAGTATTCTATTTTTCAGGTTGCTTGAAGCTACAGTGATATGTCAGGGGAGCTGGAGCCGCCCGAATCTATACCAAACGGGCCCTTCCTATGCAATTGTCAGTCCATAGTTATCACGGCCAACAAAATATAACTGCATCACGCCGCATGGATATAGTATTTCATACTTATTATATTAATATAGAGTTAAAGGACTTAAATGATCACTAGTCACTTTGAAGACCTACCCAAACTAAAATACGGTGAGTTTATTCATTTATGTATGGAAGATTTTGTTACCTTGTTAGAATAGTAAGTTTTTGCTATTTTCTAAAAAGTAATGATTGTTATTGACCTTAGAAGATACATTGAAATAGGTAAGCTGGCCTGGACACTTACTTTCTGCAAAAGAAATCTGTGCTAGCTATAGTGATTGAAACACTTACTATTAGGCAACTTATTCTTGCTGGAAAGGAATTCTATATTGTTGTAGGCCATAAAGAACAAGTAACTAGTAACTTAATCTTGACACAACTGATACAGACCTTATGCTACTGCTTGACACTACTGATACAGGGTTGTGTAAATAAAGCCATATGCTACTGCTTGACACTACTGATACAAGCCTTCCTTGTAGAAGCAAGCGCCAGCTCTCCTTGACAATATTTTCCAGGCTTTCCTTATTGCACCATTCTTTGAGCTGCTACAGGTAAACTTTGCATCATATATTTACACCCCTTACTGTGGCAACTATGTTACACATCTCAGGAATTAATTTGGTAACTAAACTATTATTTAGTTCATCATATGTGTTTTTGTTTCCCACTACTTTGTTCTGCTTAAAAATCTTTAGTGCTGCCGCAACAATTTTTAGATTAGCTCATCTCCTTCAATTTATTCTTAGCTTGTACGCACTGCTAGTTATATGTGCCTTCTTTAGGTTAATTTTTTGCTTCTACAACTTGTGTTAAGGATACTGATATTGATTGCATCTTGATCCTGCAGGTACCATGCCAACAGAATGCTTAGCTTCTATGCACCAGGTGAGTTCTCTGTAGGATTTGAAACTGTTTTATGATTTCTTTTCAATGAACAGATTTTTAATTTTTTTCATGGATGCTAAGTTGAATTTAGAGTAGTTTTTCAGTCTTGCATATGTTCCGCTGTGCAAATAACCAGCTTATAGCCTTATACCATGCCACACCTGTTTTAGAGAACCTGAAGATAGCTTGCCATCTACAATTGAAGCTTTTGCTTTACTGTAGTTTTTATGCAGATTGTATCTGCCATCTATAATCAAGTAATTGCATTTTCCCCCTTGCTCATAATGACACATGTGCTGCATTTCTACCAATTTAATATATATAATTTGAGTCATATTCTGAAAAAAAGTGTGCACTCAAGTTCTGCTGGTGCTTTGAATGGTTTACTGAATAGTATTTAGAATATCCAAGATGACACTTTCTTGATTTTCTCTTAAGCTATAAATTCTCTGTCTTAATTTGACAGCACTTTTATGGAGCTTTTGTGATTGATAATTCATTTCTTTATTTGTGTGCCTATGAATCTATCATTATAATCTGACCTTGTCTTATTAGCATTTAGATTTAGATTTAAAATAGATACAAGGAACTGTAGTCATCAACTAATTATCAAGGAACCTATAGTGAATTTGACTTGCCTAACTATTTCTGTTTTATGGATACAGGCATTAGATTATTGCCATTCACAAGGTATTATGCACCAAGATGTGAAGCCCCACAATGTTATGATAGATCATGAGCTTCGGAAACTCCGGCTGATAGATTGGGGCCTTGCTGAATTGTTGTGAATTAGACTTGTAATGGTAGTTTATATAATGTTCTTGTGCTTCTGGTCGAATTTGAATTGTAAATTCGAATTTTTTTACGGAAAAATATACTGTAGAGGCGGTTCTAGACTGAACAGCCCCGACAAACAGGTATTATAGGGGCGGCTGGTACTACAGCCGCCCCTACAAATCAATTTTGTAGACCAGCCGCCCCTATAAATTGATTTGTATGGACGGTCTGAAAATCGTCCCTACAAATACATGATTTGTAGAGATGGTTGGGTAGCAGCGGCTGCTTAAACCATTGCTAGAAATCTCCATGAGCCGTCCCTGTAAATACTTTACGGCGTAGTGCGTTAAAATAATAGGAGGAAAGATTGATACACAACAAGGTACTTATGTCAGTCACGTTCTTTTCCTCTGTAGGCACCTGCGGCGCCAGTCTTTTGTACACATGGCACAGAATAAAAGGGATCCTAGCTCTGGATAAGTCTCATGCTTGCTTTGCCATGTTGCCAACGGCTGATATAATAGCATCCGTACATGCAAAAAAAATATTGGCAGTCAGTTGAGACTATAGATGAGTGCAGTTACGCTCATTGGAACAATCGTTTTGCTTTTCTTGGGAGAAGTTTTTGTATATGCACCTGCCACGGTAATAATATATTACTTCATTCGTTATAAAATGTTTTGATTTTTCTAGATATATTGATTTTACTATGTATTTAGACACAGTGTATATCTAAATATATAGTAAAAACTATATACCTGAAAAAACCAAACATCTTATAATTTGAAATAGAGAGAGTATGATAAAACGTAGATGTTTTTTCTAGAAGACATTAAGGTACCTAGACTGGTAGAGATATTGGCACGCACTACTGATCTGCCTTAGCTTGCTTACAGAATTCGAAGTACATTCGGATCAACAAACATGGCACTTAATTTTTCTAAGAAAAGAATGCACTACACATATATAGATGAATTTTACAATCCCCTCCCATTTTTCAGAGCTAATATAATAAGTTGTCTTTGTAAATGACCAGCCCTAGAGATCAATTTTCAAGGATATTTGGCTTAATAAAACTGCCCTAGAAAGTTGCCTGTTTTTTAACGACATAAAACAACCACCCCTAAAATTGCACTGCCCCTGAAAATGAGTGTATTTCTAGGGGGCACAAGTCAAGCGTTCTTAAAAATCATTTTTAGGTCAACTACTTCTAAATAAAAGTAGATGTGGAACAAATAAATTTATAATTTTTCTCAAATAACAAACAAATTTATATTTTTTCTCAAATAAAGTTAGATAAAGACAAACTTTACCAAAAATAATGGAGCTTAACGAGATCTAAAACCTTATAGTTGATGTTTTTTTATTTGTCATCGTTTACCCAAAATTATGTTTTAAGTCATTAAATTTTTAAATTCAATTTTTTGAAATTTTCAAATAACCTTGGATGGAGACACACCATATATCAAAGTTGTAGAGCTCGAGAGATGTAAGACTTTTTAATTGAAACTTTTTTCACTTGAAATCATCTAGGGATGGAATATTCAATATAGATTCGTAGAAGTTAAACACAAAAGGACATTGCATCGTATACTTAGTCATACATGATTGTGTGGTGTGGTGGTTGAATGGCTTCATGTGAAGCAAGAAGCACTTATGAAAAACTGAAAGATCGAAGGTCTCGAGCAAGGAAAAAATATTATTGTTTTTTAAATTTTTGACCAAATTTAATTATTTTTGTGTTTTTTAAAAAAAATTTAGGGATAATTGACCAAGTTTAATTTTTTTATGGTTTAAAAATATTTTGTGGCTTGCACGTTGCTTAGCGCACGAGCCCGCGTGCAAAATATTCAAAATAAAATACTACGTTTTTGTTTTTGTTTTTGAGCTAACTCGAACTTGTGAAGAGTGGCCCAACGAAAAGCCCATTAATATGACAGCCTACCTATCCAGCACAGATAGATGACGACGTATTGAGCCTAAATGACATATGGGCCTCATAGGTGGGCTGGATCTGAGCGATGCTGCTTGAAGATTTCTGTACACAAATATGGCTAGTTGGGCTGATTGTTTTCAACACAAATTACAAGCATTTTTCTATGATTGTTGACCTGTTGCTTATACTACTCCTATTTGCTTTGCCAGTTTACATATATATATGTTCTTGCAATAAACACAGTCATATCCGTAGGGCCTTCATTCATGCCCTATTCATCGATATTAAACCTCAAATCGATAGCCATAAACAGGCACGGGAATTCTTCAATTCATTAGTAAATTATTATCCAGCTCACCTCACCAAAGTGTGTTTTAGCCTTTAGGTCCTTGTGAGTAGGTCACAATCACAAGTTGTGGAAACACCACGAATGCATCTGTCGATCGCTAAAATCTTTTCTGCTAGCATTGTCTCTGGTGAATGGTGAGACACCTGTTATGGATTTTCTCTTGTACCCTCTTCATCAACGAAATGCCTTGCTAACCTTGTTTCAGTTTCCAGGTCACAAGCGCCTTTCTTCTCCATGCTTTTAGTCCACAGCACAGAATACAAGCCAATCACTATGATCGCCGCGCCTATAACACTGTGTGAAATTACGAAAAGGATTACAGTTAATTACCAATACATTCAATTGTTCAACAATCCAATTTGAAGTGTTCAAGTTCAAAATTCTTTACCCTCCAGTATAGAGTTGATCACCAAGGAAAATTGCTGCCAAGATGGCTACCATGACAGTCTGCAGTGGTTGGAAGACAGCGATGAACAGCGGGCCTCCCTTATTTATGCACCAAATCTTAAGGGACCAGGCAAGACCCGTGGCCACAATACCCTGCATTTGAATGATATGTGCAGAAGTTATGATGCATTCACTTACACAGATCTGTTATTTGTCTACTATCCTATATTCCAATGTCAAAAAACTGTTCCCTTACGTAGTTACAAAATTGATGATTTAGATTTCCCAAGCTTCACCTACTCCCCTATATATATATATGTTTCCAAAATCATAGAAAGTTTGATGTTTGTAGTAAAGCAAAAAAAAAAAGTTTTCATTTTTTTAATCCAATGAACATATATAAGTTATATTCATGCAACCATATTCTAGTGTCGCGTCGCCGTGTGCCGCGCCGTGCTTCGCCCCTGAGTGTTCCCATTGGTCCACGCCATGATCCGGCTCCGACCAACCAGCCGATGCTCAAATGATGGGGGAAGCAAGTCATCTGAGGCTCCAAATCGTAAGCATCGCCGGTTGCTGGATGCCTCGCTCGCATGCCTCACCATCCTCTTCCAAGTGCTTCTGGACTCCAAGGGAAGGGCAGTCTTGACTCTGCGGTTCTACTCGTCAGGCTGTTGAAATATTCAGAGTGTGTTCCAGGCTGTTCAAATGTTCAGAGTGTGTCTCGCGTAAATAGCGGAGTTGATTGTTGGCAGTTCAATAGCAGAGTGGATAGATGGGATTGTAAAGTGATATTGTGAGTAAACATTTGAGGTTGTGACCACTGAATTGTCAAAATGAATGACTGGATGTATAGATTGTTGCAAAATGATCATGTCATGTTTGCAAAAGAGTTTGTGATAATCTCATTTCAGTGAACATTTACACATGTTTGCTCTTAAACATACAGACAGATCATCATAACTATTTTCTGCTGGCAAAAGGCATTCATACAAAGTTGCAAAAGACATTCAGATTACACATTAGTTGCAAATATCCATACTTTCTTCCATCTCAAATATGCTGATTTCGTGTTTTATGAAAGCAAGTTGACATTTTCTTTAACCAATTCCAACACCATCTGAGTGGGAGAGAGATGGCAACCAAATTAGAAGAATAAATATTGCTGCAATCTAGATACACATGAACAGACATGATGCAAAGCAGCAAACCTGTTCCTGGCATGGAGAGACCAAGAGATGGAGTGCACCAGCCGATTTCCGTCGGCTCACCCTCGTGTTCACGCGAAAACAATATGCAACGAAACAGGTGTCATTCATTCTCAGAGCTAAAATCGATGTATGAACCTTGCAATGATTTTGGCCAAGGCATTACCTGATGGATTGATATAATAATAATGCTGACGAACAGCCTCTCTGAGCCGCACGCCATGGAGGTCCAACTGGCATGAATCCTCTGCGGCGAAGCCTTGGAACCATCGTGCGCCCGCACCATCGTCCCCTTTCCCGTATCGACGTGGCCGGTGAGCGCCAGGCCGGCCGCGGCAGGGGGTGCGCATCCGCATCCCGTCGAACGGTTGGCGGGCGCGGCGCACCACGGCAGTGCCCCCGCCGCGCTTGGCCGTCGCAGTAAGGGAGCAGGGCAGCGGCACGCCGCAGTCGCGAAGCGGTCGCCGGCGAGGGCCGAGGTGGCGAAGGCGGCGGCGGAATCTGAGCAGCGCGGGGGGCCGGAGGTCGGGAGGTGCGACTGCGAACTGGCTCCAAGGCCCAAGTTGTCAGTGAGAATCGCTCCTCAACCTTTGGATAATTTGGGCCTTGGGCCTAATTGGCAGGCCTTCTTCTCTTCCACTTTTCCTCGCTTCAGCTAGCAGCCGTCCCCTCTTTAAAAAAAAAAGCTAGCAGCCGTCCCCGATGAAACCTTCGAGCCGTCACCAGCCCACCCCCACCAAGGCTCCGCCGCCGCCCCCGCCCCCGCCGCTCCCGCGGGCTGCCCTAACGGAGGAGCTCATCGAGGAGATCCTCCTCCGCTTCCCGCCCGGCGAATCGGCGAGCCTCTTCCGCACCGCCGTCGTCTGCAAGCCATGGTGCCGCCTCATCTCCGCCCCCGCTTCCGCGAGCACCATCGCACTCCCCTAATGCTAGGATTCCTCTGCAACACCAGCTTCGTGCCCACAACCGCCTTCTGCCCGTCGCTTGCCGACTGCTTTCACTGGGGCGCGTTGGACGCCCGCCACGGTCGTGTCCTCATCCGAAGGTATGTTATAGAGGAGGAGGACGTCCTCGTGGTCTAGGATCCCATCACGGACGAGCAGCGGGTGCTGCCCATTCCACCACGGCCGACAATCGGCTCGACTGATGCGGCTCTCTACGCCAGCGCCGGCGCTGGTGTCTGCTGTTAGATTGATCTCCACCTTGGATCCGCACTCTGATCAGGGGCGCCCAACCGCTCCATGATTGGTGGGCCCCCGTCGCACATCGCCATAAAAAGAGAGGTGTGGGCGGGGCATAAGGCACGAGGTTCACCTGAGCCGCCAGACGCCCCACCTATAGTCCCTAAACCCTAAGCTAATCTAGTGAGGGGGTGTTGCCAACGACGGGAAGACCGCCTCTGCACCGCCACCATTGCGTCCGCGACTTCACCACCGGACCTCACCGCGCCACCGATAAGCACCCCATGGCAAGCTCGTCTTCTACGAAGGCGGCCGATGGTTTGCACCTCCATAACCCCTCTCTCTCTGTTTCTCGCACTAGCATGTTCTAGGGGTTGCTATTCAATCAGATGTCAATATATATGGTAGATCTATGGCTAGTGATCCTGTTATGCAACTATCAATGGTATTAGAGCCTAACTAGGCGTAGATCTAGCTCTTGGAGTACATCAGAACAAGAAATAGAAAGGGGATTCGATTTGAAGAAAAGGATCGGACCCCAACCCAAAACTCTAACCCTAACCCTAACCCTAGAGTAAGGACGAAGGAGGGGAGGACCTACCCGGACTCTCCACCATGCGTCACCACCACCGTCGCGGGGGGAAGGAACTCCGCCGCCGCCTCGCCGACGCGTGGGGAGAAGCCGAGCTGCGCTCGCCGCCGTGCAAGCGAGCCTGGCCGAGGGCACCGTCACAGGACCGCTCGACGGCAGCACGCTCCGGCGAGGGGACCTACGGTGGTGCCGGTAAAATCTAGGGTTTGGGGTCATGCTCCACCGTAGCGGTGTGGGGGCGTAAAGTGCACCACCGCGGTGCCGCTCAATGGCACCGCATGAGGATCAAGCCGCATGCGTGCACCAGCGAAGGGCGCCACAGCGGCGCCACCATGCTTCTCTCTCGGACCATCGTGGTTCGGAGTGAGAGTGGGAGAGAGAGCCGACGCAGCGGCGAAGAGAGAGAAGAGAAAGTGAAGAATGAGCTAGGGTTCGGGCACGCGACGCGGTCGGCTTTTTTATGCGAGCGATAATGACGGGCGACCGTCCGATCTGATCGAACGACTCTGAGCGCTCGAACCGAAAATGGCCCACGCGGGTTCGGAGGTTCCTAGCCCAGGCCCAGGTTGCGGCCTGGGAGCGGGTGAGCGGGCGCGCGCACTGTGTTGGGCCGCTGCTGGGCCGCGAGCGCGGGCGCGTGGATGACATTTTGCCGCTAGGCTGAGCACTGTTTCAACGGGCTGGGCTAAATGAACAGTAGAAACTATGTTATTGTTTTATTATTTTCGGACGCAAATTTTGATTATTTTTTGTTCAGTTTTAATTTCTATCAAAATTTAAATCAACGGGATAATTTTTTTAGAGAGTAGATTAGTAAAGTAAAATGCTTCTGAAAAATAGATAAATAATTTTTTCATGTTTCCGCTGCAATGTAAAAGTTTATTATCTTCTAATTAAATTCGAACCAACAGGATAATTTAATTTGAAGAGCAATCATTTTTAGTCAGTAAATTATAATATTGTTATTTTTCTGACCAACGTTGATAATAGCAATACTATAATGTTTATTCATAAGTTTTTCTATGCATTAATTCTATTTCTGCCCAACGGTGATGTAGAATTAGTGTATAAGAAAGTTGTATGTTTTAATTTTGACTAATGTTAAATTAAGACATGCAATTATTATGACATATTTTCTCACTATCTCTGACGGTGTTTTTTAGGACTCAATCCAATGACATTTATCTCGCACGTACCACCTCTTAAAGAGGGCAACTATAGGGTATGGCGAGAGAAGTATGAATTAGCACTTGCTCTATCTGAAAATGACCTAGCACTTACCTTCACGTGTCTTGCTGAGCCAGTAGACCCGGTGAGGGAAGAAAATAAGATTGATGCAGATTTCACTGCTCGGTAGCGAGATCATGCAGAAGTATGGATGAAATATGATCTTGAACGCAAGAAATGGGATATTTCAAACCGCAAGTGCTTGATGGTGGCTAAGTCCATAATTTCAGATGCTATAAGGGGGTCTATCCCAGATTGTGATACCGCCATATAGTATCTTAAGAAAGTGGAGAGTCAGTTCACTGGCTCTTTAAAGGCATATGCCAGTATTTTGATCAAAAAATTGTTCAATGAGAAATACACTGGTGGTGGTATCAGATAGCACATACTAAAGATGAGCAACATGGCTTCGAAGCTGAAGCCAATGGATTTGGGGCTCAAGGATGAGTTTCTGATTCATTTGGTTTTTGCTTCCTTGCCTAAGGAATATGAAACCTTTGTTGTTAATTATAACATGCAGCCCAATAAGTGGGATATAGAGAAGCTCATCGCAATGTGTGTTCAAGAAGAGGAAAGGCTGAAAAGCTCACAAGGTGGTTCTGCTAACTTTGTGAAGGATAACAAAAAGAAAAACTTTAACAAGAATGCCAAACCTCAAGAGAAAGCCCCTCAGAATGGCCATCATCCGAAGAACAATAATGCTCAAGTTGAGAAGGATCAGTGTAAATGGTGCAAGAAGCATGGACATTACCAAAGTGACTGTCTAGACTTCCTGAAAAGTCTTTTGAATAGAGGTGAGGATTTCATTACATTCATAGATGAGTCCTTGTATTTAAATTATGTAAAATCTACTTGGTGGATTGATTCAGGTACAATTGTTCATGTTATAAATTCATGACAGGGATTCCGTACGAGGAGGATCCAATAAAGAGGAGAAAGAAAAATTAAAGTTGCAAATGGAGTTGAAGCTGAAGTTGAAGCCATTGAAGATCTCTCTCTAGAATTAGATGATGGTTTTAGACTTTAGCTTTCAGATATTCTTTATGTACCCTCTTTGCGTAGAAACTTGATAAGTGTCTCACGACTTGATGATGATGGTTATGATTGCTATTTTGGTAATGACAAATGTCGAATTGTTTATAATAATAAGTGTGTTAGTCTTTTCTTTCGACAAGACAAGTTTTATTTATTATCACTTTGTGAGAATGTGAATGCTGTGAGCACTGAGAATGAGAATGCTTCATCGCCTATGAGTGCAATAAATAAGCGGAAGAGAGTGCATCATGTATCTTCGAAATTATGGCACTGTCGTTTAGGCCATATTTCGAAGGGAAGAATAGAGCGATTGATTAAGAAATCAATTCTTTCGTCTTTAGAATTTTTAGATTTAGAGCAATGCATTGATTGCATAAAAGGCAAGTATGTTAAGAAAATAAAGAAAGATGTTAAACGAAGCGTAGGAATTTTAGAAATAGTTCACACAGACATCTATGGTCTTTTTCCTGTGAAAAGTGTGGATGGTTATGATTCATTTATAACATTCACAGATGATTATTCTTGTTTTTGCTATATTTATCTAATCAAGGAAAGATCGAAAGCGTTAGATAAATTTAAGATATTTAAGGCTGAAGTAGAAAATCAGCACAACTTAAAGATTAAGTTAGTAAGATCCGACCGTGGGAGAGAGTACTACGGTCGACACACCCCATATGGACAAGTTTCTGGACCTTTTGCAAAGTTCTTACAAGAAAATGGCATAGTTGCCTAGTATTCTACATCGGGCGAGCCTCAGCAGAATGGAGTAGCTGAAAGACGCAACCGTACCTTCATGGATATGGTGAGAAGCATGATAAGTTACTCTACCCTGCCGATAAGTTTATGGATGGAGGCGTTAAAAACCGACATTCATATTCTTAATCGAGTGCCAAGCAAGTCTGTACCCAAAACACCGTATGAGTTATGGATAGGAAATAAACTCTCACTTTACTATTTATGTGTGTGGGGTTGTCCAGCTAAGGCTAAAGTCTTTAACCCAAACATAGAGAAGCTAGACTCCAAGACAGTCAGTTGTCATTTCATTGGCTATCCAGAAAAGTCAAAAGGTTACCGCTTATATTGTCTTAACAGACAAACGAAGTTTATAGAAACAAGACATACTGTGTTCTTGGAGGATGATATGATTAGGGGGAGCATGGTAGCGTGAGAAATTAATTTTGATGAGAAGCGGGTATACGTACCCACTTCGATGGTTCAGGAACTATTCTTCACGCTACCTGTTGTTGATGT